GTCACCAGATGCAGCAGTAGAAGCCAAGCTGGAACCAGAGAGCAGAGTACAGAACGAGGCTTAGTCAAATCTTTTCACACTTAACACAGGCACTGAAAAAATCTGTCTGTCTTTAAGAAGAGCCATCCCATGCCAGCAGAAAGCATCAAGTTTAAAGGCTACAGGAGGGTTAAAAAGTTTTAGTTCTACCCATTAGAGCTGTACAGTGACCTCAGCCAGTCAAACCAGGTACACTCCCATACATGAATAACATCGATATTTCACAAAAAAATTTAGAGCAATCTGCCTAAAAGCCTTCTGCCAGTCTCAGCTTGACCTCTGTCACCAATCTCCAGTCAAAGCAGCTGCGTGCTACTTTGAGCAGTCAAAAAAAGAGCTAAGGCTCATCAGCAGGATTACATTTTCTCTGGAGACTCCTGCCCTCCTGATCAGAGATCTGCAGGGGGCGAGACTCAGAATCAGTGGCCTGAACAGCAACAGAGACCACATGGCAGTTAGAGGTGCATTCCCTCAACATTCACCACGAGTTCCAATGAAAAAGAGTCTCCAAACACCATCAGAAGAGGAAGAACTGCCAGGAGCTCTCAACTTCTTCTATTACGGTTTCTACTTCCTACTGGTAGCTTGGGACAGAACACTTACTATTGCATGTAGTACTGCCTTGCATAGATCTGCTGGAACCACGACATCTGAAGCATGCTGTAGGTTGTGTAAGCAGAGAAGCCAGGAGCCACACTCTGGAAGGGATGCCGAGTTGTTTCCAGCCTTGGTCAAAATTTGAACACATTCATTAGCAAACACTGGACAAACAGCAAGAGTAATTTATTACAGAACAATGTAAACAGGTTCTGCCATTCTGTGCATTGAGATGGAAAACTGATTCTTCCTTCTAGAATATTAGAGACGCATCTTTACCCATGTGAATAAAAGGAAGATTTTCAACTAACAGAGCAGTGCATTTTCCTTTAGATGCCACATCCCTTGGGTGTGTTCAAGGCGAGGTTGGACAGGGCTCTGAGCAACCTGATCTAGTTGAAGGTGCCCCTCATGACATGAGGTTTGCCTTTAAAGGTCCCTTCCAACCCCAATTATTCTATGTCCTCTAAAGCTTTTATATATAGCCTCATATTTGGCCCATGTTCTATGAACATTAAGGCGGTACGTCTGGCATAAGGAGCTGGTATCCAAACACAAACACAACATTTTAAATCTTACTTATGTACATAAAAATGTACTTACCCATTACTGGCTTCTGCTGAAGACTGGTCACCTGAAGAGCAATTCAATCTTCCACCATTTGAGGAAGATACAGATGGTTCCTGACTGGCTTCTGGTGACGACTTGGGCTGATCAGCTTTAACCTAGAGACAGCAGTGCAACCAGTGAGGTTCACTCAGGACACCACACACACCTTATGCAAAAAGGTTACATCACCCAGAATATGTTCTTTTTTTAACACTGCTAACCCAGCTCACACACTTAGGCCTGCACGGCACCACTCAGCGCTGACACTGCTTTTGGGCACCATGCCACAAGCACCTCCAACAGTACTTTAAAGTTCCTTAAAAAAAAAAATGACTGGGATGCAAAATTGACTTGATGTTACTCTTCCCTTTCACCAGATCTACACTGTATTTATTACTTCTCATGCACACATTCACTGCCCATCTGGTTATAAAAATGTAATCAGAGGGAACAGAGGAAACTGCACACAAGGCAGTTTGGCTTTTTATTATGGCAAGTTTGTACTTGCATGCACCACCTGCTGTACACAGAGTTCAAGAGCTGTTCTGTGGTGATAAATCTGTATAATATCCAGCCAAAGTTGGCTCACCTCTAGCAACCACCAGGTACAGGTAGGGTAAGCTCAAATTGCCTATAATGGGCAACAGGAACACACCTCTAGAAACATTTGCCCACCCACTTCAAAGTAAGGACTGGGTTTGGCCATTTGCACTTGAAAACAGTAAGTACTAAGTTCAAGCTCTAAGGTTCAGCCTGTAGAGAGGAAGCCAAAGATGAGTCATTAATGAGAGCAGTTAAAGAGCTCTCAGCTTTCTTCCTTCCCCATACAGATCAGAACCACTTCCCCAACTTCTGTGTGTTCTGCCCACAAGCTCAGTCTAAGAGAGCCTGGAACATGACAAATCATATTCTATTTACCATTAAAAATGAATTTACCAGAAAGCATTTCTCCCCTGAGCAGCGTGTTACAACTAGATGATAGTTCTCATATTTCTTAACAGACGTCATGAGAATCTTTACTGATGAATTGTAGAGTCAATTTTTTTTACTCAGCTTAATCCAAATACATTCTCACATTCCTAAACAAAGTATCACAAACTAACACTGCTGCTACATTAACAGGGAAAACCTGCAGTACCAGGAACTTTAAAATGGCCATTCAACACTTCTCATTTTCAGTTAGAACCCCAAGATTCAGAGCACCTTGTTAACTTAGCTTAAGTACCTCCGATTTGGTTTCTTGCACATTTGCAGGAGTCTTGAATTTGTACACCAAATGAAGAGCATGCAATTCCTCATGCTAAAAATGTAAGGGAAAACATGTTAAAAAAAATCACTTCTCTTGATATATTTCAGCACATGGCAAAAGATATTTTTTATACCTTTGGCAGCAGTTCTCTCAGACAGTGATGATCAAGCAGCAGTTTCCCAGAATAAATCAGCTTTTGGTCGTCTTCAGGCTTTGAAGAAAGAAAACAAAGAGTAGGATGACTTCTCTGCCAAGCACACACAAGAACTACTGACACAACTTACAGCCAGACAAGAGGCATGGAGCTGGGAGCACCCCACACATTAAGGGGCAGAGGGAATTGTTCACTTTAGCTGAATTTAGATGTGCACAACTGAACACCCAAGTGTGACATTACTTGAGTGACGTCTAAATTACTTGAGTGAGGTCTAAACCAGCAGGAGGATATAAAGCCCCTTTGGCAAAGGACTTGGTTACGTGCCATCTCTTTTACAATCCTGACAAAAACATTTGTGTTTCCCAGAAACAGGTTTGGAGTTCCCTCCAATCTGATCAGCACGAGAGCTGTAAATCTGTTACAGCCCATCCAATGAGTCCCAGGAGCTCTCCACCTGGAGCTGTCCCCCTGCAGCACAGCAGTCCCAGAGCCCGTTTCTGGGCAGTCACCTCACTCCCTGGAGAGCAGGGCAAAAGCACGAGGCGGTCACACCTTCTCCCAGGCAACAAGCACCAGGACAGGGGGAAACGGCCTTAGGCTCGCCAGAGCAGGCTCAGGATGTTACGAAATATTTCTTCACTGAAGGAGTGGTTAAGCATTGGAACGGGCTGTCCAGGGAGGGGGTAGAGTCACAGTCCCTGGGAGTCTTCAAAAAATGAGCAGACATAGCACTGCACAACATGGGTTAGCGGGCACGGTGGTGTTTGGCCAAAGGTCGGACTTGACGATCTTGGAGGTCTTTTCCAACCTCTCTGACCCCGTGAAGAGCACACCCCTCCTGCGGGGACGCCTCCCGTGGGAGCAGCGGGTCACGGGGCGCAGCTGCTCCAGCAGCTCTCACGTGTCAGCCCTCGAGTCCTGCGGCTCAGGGGGCAGCGACACTTCTGCATTTCAACCCCGCACAGCCGCCCAAGCCCCGTCCCGCCGCTGTGCCCCCCGCTCGGCGGGTACAGCCTCCAAACCCCGCCGGAGGAGCCTCCGCGCTCGCTGCTCCCGGTGGGTGCGGCGCTCACCGGCACAGCCCGGTGCCTCCCGCCGGCGATGACGTCTCCAAACACCCGCAGGACACGCCGTCCCGGGAGGGCGGTTAATGATTAACCGCGGCCGAGCCACAGATCGAGTCCCAAAATAACCCGAGGCTGATGCAACCGGGACCGGGACACCCCGGGGCGGGGGGGGTTCAGGTGCCAGGACCGGGACACCCTGGGACGGGGGGGCGGACAGGGGACAGCCCCAGGAGCCCCACAGGAGTCCCACGGGGGCTCTCGTCGCTGTCCCGCGGGGACCCGGTACCCCCGCCCGGCGGGGCTGCGAGAAGGGGAAGGCGGGGCAGGGGGGTGTCGCACTCACCGGCGCGTCGGGCAGGAGCTGGCGCAGCTCGGTCTTGAGGCGGCGCACGGTCCAGGCGGGCGCGGCGCGGAGCCGCAGGTCGTCGTGCCGCCCCGAGGGGCTCCGCACCAGCAGCACCAGCGGCTCCTCCATGACGAGGACGGGACAGAACGGGCGGCGGCGGCGTTTTCCCTCCGGGAAGGCTTTTATAGGGGCCCGCCCCGCTGCAGGGCCGCGGTGGCTGCACCTGATTCGACGCGGCGGGCGAGGGGGCGGGGACTTCCACGTGGGCCAATGGGACGGGGCCCCGCGTGCTTCGCCGCGAGGAGGCGGGAGCGCTGATTGGGCGGTGCCGGGCGAGGGGCGGGGCTACAGCGTCACCATGGGGACCGTGCTCCGCCCGCCCGGGCCGTAAGGGGATGGCGGCCATGCAGGGACTGTGCTGGTGTCTCCGCTGTCCCTTCTGTGCCCACTGTCCTCCTGCCCTCCACAACGTCAGCCCCAGCAGCAACACTGTTTTTAGGGACCCCCTGGCTCCGCTCCTCCCTCTCCCCTCCGCCCGTCGGGGCAGCACAGCTCTGTGGGGCCCTGGCAGGTGCTGCACCTTGCCCGGTCCAGGTGAAACATCCCCTTTTTCACCCTGTGGTTGTTTTATCAGATCTGCGCAGCTGCCTCAGCGGGTTTGCTGCTGACTCTGCGGGGACAGGACACGCCGCGCTCCTGCGCGGGGCCAAAAGGAGTGTGCAGTTATTATTTTTCATAATTCATGAAATTTTTACTGACAAAAAAAAAATAAAAAGACGTGAAAATGTGGACCAGGAGCTTCTGAGTCGTCCTCCTCGCGCCCATCTTCCTTTGAGATGCGACCAAGCATCGGGAAAACCAGTGGTAATGATCCCGGTGCACCAGGAGGGGGTTTTCGCGTCCTTTGAAACCAAACCGTAGGGGTGCGAGAAGCAGTTTTATCTCTCGGCACCAGGTATTTATTTACTCTGCGTGTTTCGGGAGCTGCTCACTGTTCCTTGGCAGCCAGACCTGTTGCCCGAAGGCACGGATGAGTCCGCAGCCAGCACCGGGTTTTGCAGCCAGAGAAGACACGGGGGTGCATCATCATCCCGGGGAAGAGCTGAGCCACGGGGCACTGCCGCCGAGAAAGCAAAATCATAAAGAGATGAGCTGAGCCTGGGTCTGGTCCGACGAACCCTCCACGGCTGCCAGGGTACATCCTTGTGAGGGTGGACAACGCCATCGGAGCCCATTCCTCTGTTACATCCCACAGGCAGCACTGAGGCTGTGCTCCTGCCTGCTCTGCCCTCTCTGTGCTCCTCTTGCTCCTTTGGCACAGGCTATGATTCCTGACCCCCAGCTCCTAATGGCAATGGAAGAGGGAAAGAAAGGCAAACGCAGTGTCCAGGGCCACCCTTGACGATGTCCCCCAATAGCATCAAGGTGACTTTTCTGCTCACTTGGTTGTAGCCTTTGCTTGGAGTACCCAGAGGGCTCCTGTGGATGGCAAGGACAGGGTAAGGCTGTGGAGATGTCAGAGTAAAACCAGGATCTCAGGCTCTGAGTGTGTGTTTTGCTGGGACTCCCTGTGCAGTTACTGGCCAATGGACCAGGTGAGCCACTGTAGCCACAACCAATCTGCCACGAGCTCAGGCTCCTGTGTTTCTCCCCCCTGTCACAGGCAGCAGGGGCAGAGCTCACCTGAGCTGCCCACTGCCCATCCCCTGCCCGAGCCATTGCTGGGAAAATTGCCCATTCACAGGAATGTGCTGGACAAACTTACCTGAACCCAGTGCTGACCTGGCTTGGAGCAGGGGCTGGAGGAACCACCTGCCTGAGTGCTAAACCTCTGCAGCCCCACTCCAAGCCTGGGGGTGCTAAGCCCCCTGGAGAGTCAGGCCCTCACTGCCCTCACCCAGAGCAGCCAAGAACTGGTGGATTTGGAGTCAGTGGACACGTCTGGACATTTGGTACCACATGCTCCAGTTCCAGAGACTGATTCAGAGCTCCTAGGACTGAAGCAAAACAAATGCCTGCCCTGATACTGTCTGCTTAGCTTAACTCTCTCTGTGGCAGCAGATTTGGAGCCATGCCACAAAACAGAAGGTGTGACCAGCACGTCACCCCACGGTCCTGCTGAACAATTAACCCTGATTTACCAAAATTGGAGATGAAGAGCTGCAAGCTTCTTTTGTCACCAGTGCCTGCGTAAATATTAACTCCGTTGTAAATCAGGATTATCTCTCTGACCTCAGCACAATTACTCTGTTTAAAAGCCGGGGTCTGATGCAATTTTGTGCCATCCAAAGGTTGCTCCGTGGGCTGGGATAGAGTGAGGGTCAAAGGGGGGTGTGATCCAGACAAGCCAGGCTGATTCTTTGGACTCATTTCAATTATTTCATTCTGTTGGAAGTCCTGTGCTCATTAGGTGTCTGGCTTTAAAAAACATTTCATGGCGCTTCTGTCATGGCCCCTTTGGCTCCAAGATTCCTTGGAGACCATGAACAAGACTTTGGTCTGGATCAGTGCTGGTGACCCCGGTGCCGGCAGCTCTCAGTGCGCTCCAGCTCCTCTGTGGGGTCTGCAGGGAAGGGGCTGCCTGCCTGTCCCTGGATGTTTCGGTGCCTGAGCAGGGACAGTTCTGCTGGAGCCACATCCTGAGGGTACCTGTGGACACAGCCCAGCAGCACTGAGGAGGTGTGCTCTGGCTACATGTCCTGGCAGCCTGGTGCTGGGATGGGCACAGCGAGGCTTTGCCGCACACCCGGTGAACTCGAGCATTTCTCGTCCTCTCACTCGGTTGTTCCACCACTCAGTAAAGCAACTCATCCCCAAAACAGTGAACCTTCCCTGGCCTGTGCTGCTCCAGGGCGGCACAAAACGCTCCTGCCAGACAGGGGAGAAAAACTGGAGGGCATCTTTAACCAGCAGGTGGGAAATGAAGGGCACAGCTGGAAACTGTCCTCTGCTACCAGAGGTGCCTCTGCCAAAGGCCACCAAAACGGTGGCACAGGGAGCAGCAACGCTGGGTCGGTGGGAGAGGCAGGGCCCTCTGCCAGCGTGGGGAAACACCGGGATACCCCCAGGCGGGGCCAAGGCTTCCACCGGTGACACTCGTGGGGATGCAGTGGGGGTGCTGACATGCTGTTGGCTTCACTTTGCCGCTAATGAGGTTCTTGATAGCGATGGGACGCCTGGGATTACCGGCGCGGTGCCCGGTGCCGTCCCAGCGCGGCGGCGTCCCGCTGGCAAGCGGAGCAGTGCCCAGGCCGGGCGGGGCCGGGGTGTCGGGGATGGGGCCGGGGACGGGGATGGGGCCGGGGACGGGGATGGGGACGGGGACGGGGCTGGGGACAGGGACGGGCTGGGGACAGGGACGGGCTGGGGACAGGGACGGGGGTCCTGCCGCCCGCCCGCTCCCGCCCCCGTTACCACGGCGACGTTGTCAGGAGCCCTCGGGCCACGCCCCCCGCGCGGTCCCGGCCAATGGCGCGGCGGGGCCCGGCCGGCCCGCCGGTGACGTCATGGCCGGTGAAAATCCCCCGTGGCCGCGGGAGCGGCGGTGGCGGCGCGGCCCCGCGGCCCGGCCCGGCCCGCACCATGGCCAAGCACCACCGCACGCCCGCGCGCTCCGCCGAGCCCGTCATCGAGGTCAAGAGCAAGGTAAGCGCCCGCCGGGCACGGCGCCGGTGATGCCGATGTCGGTGCCGGTTCCGCCGGGTCGCCACCGGGCGCCGTCGCCCCCGCGCCGGGCGGCACACGTGGGGCGGGCACCGCGCACCGGGGAGCGGCGCGGCAGCCAGGCCGTGCGGGCGCTCCGCTCCGCTGCGCTGCGGCGGCGCTGCACGGAGCCTCCCCGAGCCCGGCCCGGCCCGGCGGGCGCGGCGTCCCGCCACCGTGCGCTCTGCGGGGCCGCGGGATCGCTCGGCGCGGCCGTGGGAGCGCCGCGGCGGAGCGCCCGCCAGATGCGCAGGGCGCCGGTGAGCCGCGCCGGCAGCTCCCGTGTGCGGAGTGGCCCCGCCGGTGCGGGTGCGCTGGGTGCGCGGTCACCCCGGGGACACACCTTGCCCAGATGTGCTCTCGCCCAGATGTGCGCGCTCGCCGAGGCGTGCACACCCCCCGGCTATGCCATCACACAGCTGGGCACCCCCAGCAAGGGGCGAGCCCCTGCTGTGCGTCCAGATGTGCACACCTGCATGGCTGTGCGCTCGCCCAGATGTGGTCTCCCGCAGACGTGTCTGCTCATCCAGATGTGCGCTCAGCCGGCACACCCTTGCCCAGATGCGTGCCCTCACCCAGATATGCATCCACCTGTGCCCACCAACCATCCCTGTGCTTACCCAGATGTTCGCACTCCATTTCTGAACCCTTATCCAGCTGTGCACTTGCCCAGCTGTGCCCTTGCCTGTCCGGGACCCCTGTCGGGGTGCAGCGTGCCCTTCTTCCCAGGGCATGGGGGCCGCCGCCTGCCCCAACAGCCGGGGTGTGACCCCCACGGGCAGCGCCATCCCCGCAGCGTTCCTCAGCCTGTTCTTAATTGGCTTCCCCCTCGTCGTGACGGAAGGAGGCTTTAATTAACGCTGTTGCTCACCAGGTGCTCCGGCAGTGCCCGTGTCGCAGGGAAGGGCCTCCCGGCAGCACAGAGCCTGCCGTGGCTGGTGGTGCGGCCGGAGGGTCCTTCCTCTGCCTCGGGGGCACCTCTCTCGCCCTGTCACTTCGATGTTTGGGCAGGAAAACGCCTTCGCTCCTTTTACTTTGTTTTTGGGACGAGCTCTGCCCGGCTGGTGCTGCTGCCTTGGTGCTGCTGGGCTCTGGAGCCGGCAGTGCCTGGCTCTGCCTGCCCTGGGGCAGCTCTGTGTGGTGCCCTGCCTTCATCAGTCCTGCCGGCCAGAGCCAACCCTGCCCAGCCTCACCCTCGTCCTCCTCTTCCTCCTCCTCCTCCACAGTTCGATGCTGAATTCCGCCGCTTCGCCATGAAACGCTCCGGCGCGGGCAGCTTCCAGGACTTTTACCGGCTGCTGCAGACGGTGCACCAGATCCCACGGGTGGACGTGCTCCTGGGTTACACAGACATCCATGGAGACCTCCTGCCCATCAACAACGACGACAACTATCACAAAGCCCTGTCCTCTGCCAACCCCCTCCTCAGGGTCATCATCCAGAAGAAGGGTAAGTGGGATGTGGAGAAGGGCGCTGGATCCGTTCTGCCCATCAGGAGAGATGAGCCACGTCCTGTGGCATCATATCTTCCAGCCACTGCTTTGGTGGATGGGTGCGGAGATGGTGGCGCTGGGAGGCTCCCAGAGCCCTGCCAGGGCTGTGGCACCCACGTGGGCTCTCCCTGGCAGCCGAGGGGCACCCACCCCAGCCCGGCCCCGTGTGACCCGGTGAGCAGAGGCAGATCCTTGCAATTCACCCCTTTGAAGTCATGGTTTCCAGCCAAGATTGCGTGGGCTCCCTGATAACACCCGTGTTGTTCCTATGAGCGCTATGCTGGGAGCCCCATCCAGTTCCCCGCCCTGAGGAGGCAACAGCCATCATTTTGGCAGAGCTCTCAGGGTGCCGCTGAATTTTAGGCGTCGGGAAGAGACTTGCTGCCTTCCTGGCAGCCCACGGGCTTGCCCTGACCTTAGTGGCATATTTCCAGAGAGCCACTTACTTGCACAGGTGCATGGAATTGCCCTGATAGCAGCGTCCTGTCGAGGATGGAAATCTCCCAGTGACAAACACTCTGGGTACTTCTCTTCACAGGGGAAATGAGCCCGTCCCCTTCCACTTGGTTTAGTAGCACCAGGGTTTTCTCTTTAGTAGCATCATCAGTCAGCAGTGCACAGAGCCGGAACCTGACCCAGAGCCCCAGTTTTCCTGCTCTGGTACAGCATCCACAGCAATTCCATGTTTCCAGCTCAGTGGTACAAAGTCTGTGGGTGAGGGGTGATGCCAATGGCCAGCCTTGGCTTGTGTGCCATTTTTTCTGGGCTTTTGCATCAGGGTGGTGTGGGATGCCCTGGACATGCATTTTCTCTGTGGCCACACAGTGTGGAGCCAGCAGCAGCAATCCAGGCTGCTGGAGCCCGTGTTGTGCTCAGGGGCTGTCACTGCCAGTGCCGAACCATCCCATTCCTGGAGCAATGCTTGGATCCAGGCTGTGGCACAGAGAGATGGAGCAGGGGTGGGTGTGCCAGGGCTGCTGTGGGAGCATTGCTCCTGCTCCCAGAGCCACCTTGTCTGCTGCTGGAAAAAGCCTGTGACTGACCATGCCAAGATGGCACAGTGTGGAGGGCAGGAGCCACAGCCCTGGCACTGTGGGCAGTGGGATAAGGAGGGCAAGGAGGCAACACCAGCAAGCCCCAACAGCCGGCTGTGCCTGCGGGAGAGGGGCCAAGGGGCCGGCAGCACCACGGGGAGGTGTGCAGAGAGGCCAGGAGCAAGCCCTGGGTGAGTCACAGCTGATTTAAAATGGATCCAGGTCATCCCAAGGCTGGGCTGTCGTTGAACCGGTCCGGGTCGCTGAGGAATGTGGCTGCAGAACCTCTCACAGTGCCGGGCACAGGGAGCTGTGCACACCTGTGTAGGTAGGTGTGCACCCATCAGTGGGCTCTGCAGCAGCCAGTCCTGCAGCAAGAGGGCAAAAAGCAAAGGTTGGGTTCCCCTCTGAACCATCACCCCATTGGGTGAAGCCATCCTGGCTGGGACGGTGGCACTAGTCCTCCTTGGCTGGGCCAAGGCTCATGGAAAGGGCAGGGGAGAGCCTGGGACATTGCCAGGGCCACCAGCAGGCTCGTCCTTGGCATGCTGGACCCGCCTGGCCCAGCCACTCTGTGCCCCTTGGAGAGTAGCTCGTGTGCTGAAATAGCTGTGGGAAAGCCTCCGCCGCCCTTCCCTGAGCTAAAAATATGCCAGGCTGTGTGTGCAGGAAGATATATATAAGCCAGGAGCCCTGGCAGGCTGGCTTGACTAGGGAGAAATCCCATGTCCCCTGGGCTTGGGGACATCCCCAGCACTCCTGAGGCTGGAGTGGGGTCTGGATGCTGGTGGGGGGCACTGTGGGGAATGTGCTGACCATGCAGCGTCCAGATCTGGACTCCCACATGGAAAGGGATGGGGAGAAACCAGAGGGGAACGAGGGGATGCTCCCCAGCTCTTGGTGGATGGAGCCAAGGAGGATGTGTTGGAGCTGGGCCCCACAGAGCAGCCCCAGGGCAGGGTCCAGGAGGAGCATCAAACCCTGTATGAAGGTGCATAAGAGACACTGGCATAAATCACAGTCTGGGATGTTCAGTGGCCCTGGGGATGCTGCAGCCCTGGGATGGATCTCCGGGAGCTGGGAAGTCTCTGACCTTGGGGATGGCAGGGTTCTATAGAACATGGTGGCAGCCATCCCCAGCCCATGCCAGTGATGGCCCTGCTGTAGTGAGGCCTGGGGACTCTGGTGGTGGCTCCCAGGGTTGGACTCGCTCTCAAGAGAGTTTGCTGCCACTGCAGCACTCCTCGTATGGGGGGTCCCCTCTCCCCAAAGCCAAACTGGGGCATGGCTGCAGCTCCCAGGCCATCAGGGCTGGCAGCTCTAGTGTTAAACTGCAGAGTTTGGCTTAAAGTGTGATTAAGGCTGAATCACTGCCTCGATCCCACTAATCCTGGCCTGTGTATGATGGGTAATCCCAGGAGATGGGCCCCAGCGGAGACAGGCTGCAGGGAAAGCCAGGGTGATGCTCTGGGGAGGAAAAGCCGGTGAGACCTGTGAGCGAGGCCCTTCTGCTGCCAGCTCCCCCAACACCTGGGGCCAAGGGCACACGGTCGCATCCCCAGGTGGCTGCGGTGTCTGACCTGTGTCCTCCCTTGCTCCCTACAGCAGAGTCTGATGCCAGTGTCTTCGCCTCCAACTCCCTGCAGCGGAAGAAGAAGGGGCTGCTGCGCCCCGCGCACTACCGGGCCAAGCCTCACCTCCTCATCGGGATGCCCCAGGACTTCCGCCAGATCTCCTCCATCATCGACGTGGACATCCTGCCCGAGACCCACCGCCGCGTGCGGCTCCACAAGCACGGCTCAGACAAGCCGCTGGGCTTCTACATCCGCGACGGCGTCAGCGTGCGCGTGGCCCCGCAGGGCGTCGAGAAGGTGCCCGGCATCTTCATCTCCCGCCTGGTGAAGGGCGGCCTGGCCGAGAGCACGGGGCTGCTGGCGGTGAGCGACGAGATCCTGGAGGTGAACGGCATCGACGTAGCCAGCAAGTCCCTGGACCAAGTGACGGACATGATGGTGGCCAACAGCCACAACCTCATCATCACTGTCAAGCCGGCCAACCAGCGCAACAACGTCATC